TTCCACTGAGATTCATCAATCCGCTCCATGGGAAGAGACTGTCTTTACTCCATTGTATGTTCTTGCCTCCTTTGTCAAATATATATTTTTAATTCTCACCTGAGGATATTTGCATTGATTTTTTTTTTTTTTTAGAGAGAGGGCAGGGGAAGGGAGAGGGGGGGACAGAGAGACACACACGTTGATTGGTTACCTCCCACACACGTCCCAACTGGGGCCAGGGATCGAGCCTACAACTGAAGGTACGTGTCCTTGACAGGGAATCGAACCTGCAACCCTTCCACCCAAGGGCTGGCACTCTAACCACTGAGCCAAACCAGCCAGGGCTCCTTTGTTAAATATTGAGCATAATGTCTTGGGTCGATTTCTGGGTTCTCTGATCTGTTCCATTGATCTAATGCCTGTTCTTATCCTAGTACCGGACTGTTTTGATTACAGTGGCTTCATAGTGTAGCTTGATATCTGGTATTGTGATCCCTCCATCTTCTTTCTCAAGATTGCTGCAGCTATTTGGGGTATTTTTTGGTTCCATATACATTTTTGGAGTATTTGTTCTAGATCTGTGAAATATGCTGTTGGTATTTTAATAGGGATTGCGTTGAATCTATAGATTGCTTTGGGTAGAATGGACATTTTAATGATGTTGATTCTTCCAACCCATGAACACAGTATATTCTTCCACTTGTTTATATCTTCCTCTATCTCTTTTTGCAATGTCCTGTTGTTTTCCGAGTACAGGTCTTTTACCTCCTTGGTTAAGTTTATTCCTAAGTATTTTAAATTTTTTGTTCCAGTGGTAAATAGGATTTTTTTTTTAGTTTCTGTTTCTGAGTGTTCATTATTGGTGTACAAAAATGCCATCAATTTCTGGGTGTTAATATTGTATCCTGCTACATTGCTGAATTCATTTATTAAATCTAGTAGTTTTTTGGTGGTCTTTAGGGTTTTCTACGTACAATATCATGTCATCTGCAAATAATGAGTTTTACTTCCTCCATTCCAATTTGGATGCCTTTTATGTTTTCCTGTCTGATGGCTGTGGTGAGGAGTTCCAGTGCTATGCTGAATAAGAGTGGTGAAAGTGGACACCCCTGTCTTATTCCTGTTCTTAGGGGAAATGGTTTTAGTTTTTTCCCATTGAGAATGATGTTGGCTGTAGGTTTGTCATATATGGCCTTTATTATGTTGAGGTATGTTCCCTTTATTCCCACTTTACTGAGAGTTTTTTTTTAAATCAAAAATAGGTGTCCAGCCCGGCCGGGTGTGGCTCAGCGGTTGAGCATTGACCTAGGATCTAGGAGATGGTGGTTCGATCCCCTGGTCAGGGCACATGCCCGGGTTGCAGGCTCGGCCCCCCAGTAGGGGGCGTGCAGGAGGCAGCCGATAGGTGACTCTCTCATCATTGATGTTTTGATCTCTCTCTCCCTCCCTCTAAAATCAATAGACATATTTTAAAAATAAAAAGGGTGTCCAACTGGCTTCTTGGTGTTTCCATAGACCCCAGACCTTCAAGGCAGGGGGCTGTCCAAGGTATTGTTTCTTTAATACTTGCTGAACGGGTCACCCATAGGCTTCAGGCCCCACCCCAGCCTCCTTTTTTGCACCCTTTTCATGTTGTTGCTAGCTGGACACCTAGCCCCTTGAACCTCATATCCTGATGGATTTTGTGAGTTCTGACCTGGGGGCCAGTCACCCGACCAGTCAGTGCACCAACCATCTCCCATCCTGTGCCCACAATGGAGGGAATTGCAGGCCCATTCTCACCGTGTCAACCCCTTTATAACCCCTCTGAGCCGTACCCAGTCTTTTCATTATTGAAATGTCCTTCTCACACCTTCATCTGCCTCTCCCCTACTCACCTTCATCTTCAGAAGGTAACCTCTCCCCCTCCTTGACCCCCAGCCACACATTTCTCATTTATAACATTCAATGCGAAAGCTACTATTTATCTCCATTTTACAGATGAACAAACTGAGGCTAGAGGGGTTAAACTACTTGCCCAAGGCTACTATCCAGGGCATGGAGAAGTCAGGATTTGGACTTTGTCCGTCAGCCACAGAAGCCTGCATTCTCAACGTCTCACCGCACTGACTCTTTTCAGTACTAGCTCCATCCCCTCCATGTCACCCACAAATTGTCATGGCACCTGAACCTCTTATCCTGAGCCTGTCCACCAAGCCTTTGCACAAGCAGGTGAGAGTGAGGCAATCTCCAGAGCCTTCTGATGGAGTCATTGTGTCCTGTAGAGTCCCCTCTCATCCACGCACCCTCTTTCCTGGCTGATGGATGGAGAGTGGTGGGACATTGCCAAGGTGGTGTTTATTGCTGGCCAGGGCATGGGTAGGTAGGGACCTGGGGGGCCTGAGGGTCTACCCTCTCACCCCTACAGCCCCGCTGGTGAGGGGAGCCCAGTGGAACGTAGCTTTCATGGAAGTTGCCCAATCTAAGCACTGGTGGGCCCTGGTACTTGAAGGCAAACTCGTCCTCATATTGGGTTGAGAAGAAGCGCTGTCTACCCAGCGGGGGCTCCAAGTGGCTATCCTTGCACTGTGGAGTCCGGGTGGGTAGCCTGGCAGGGCAGCCTGGAGGGTGGCTGACCCACCTGGGCCACCCGATGGTCCCCACACCACCCCGAGGGGATCAGAGCTTGGTGATGGGCTCTGGGGAGGTGGGCAAACAGGGCCCCAGTTTAGGCTGACCCAGGAGCTGAATGAGAAACTGGGGGCGTGGCTGGAACGACCCCAAGGGCTGGGATGACTCCAGGCAACCCTGAGCCAACCTGCAGCTTACGGTATAACCCTGGCTGGTAATACGGAGATGTCCCTGAGCTGACCCTGACATGACCCTGGGGATGAGCTTGGGATGATCTTGAGGCTGGGATGACATAAAGATAACCCTGAGATTGGGGTGACTCTAGAGTGACCCTGAGAGGACCTGACACTAATTGTGAGTCCGAGGTAAGGGTCTAAGCATCCTGAGGTAACTCTAACACTGATTTGGGGGTATCTGGTTAGGGAGGTGACCCTCTCCCTCTCTCACCCGCTGCAGCATCTCCTCAGTCATGGAGGCAGGAGCTGTTCCGTGGGGTTTCAGCATCTTCTGGTTCATGGTTAGAAAATCTGGTTCTGGAGATTGGGGTGTGGGTGGCTGAACTGAGGGGCTGAGGGAGGGGCAGAGCCCCAGCGGGCAGGGACACAGGCAATCTCCCGTGGGGTAGGGGTTCTGGGCGGAGCCCCGCCAGGGGGGAAGTTACATTAGGAGGCGGGAAGGAGGGAGGAGCCAGGGGGGCTGAGGCGGCCTGGGGCCTGGGGGGAGTCAGGGAACCGAGCCCGATGTGACCTTGGCCGAGGAAAGGCGCGGGCTGTGGTCACACAGGGTCGGCGCAGCGGCGGAGGTGGGGAGTGCGGGGAACAGGACCACGAGGGGGCGGGTGTCTAGGGGCAGAGTTGGGATCCTGGTCGAGGGGGTGGGATCTAGCCCTGCTGGAGGCGGGGCCAGGGTCGGGAGGTGAGGGGGGTCAGAGCTGTGGGGGGCGGGCCTTCTGGGGCGCGGGCGCGTCGCGCTCACCGCCGGTGCCCTCCGGCAGGTTGCTCTGCAGCAGGTGCAGGTTGAGCGCTTTCTGGGGCTGCGGGCTGCCGGTGGGGTAATAGTCCATGCCCATGGTGGTCTGGAAGAACTGCCCGAGCAACTTCGACTCCCCTAGGGTCACATGACTCTGCAAATTCTCATGAGGCACGTGGCGGCCGTTTGGGTTGGTCACTGGCGGCGGCTATAGGACCACACGGCACTAGGAAGCTCCCGTGTCCAGGATGTCCCAAGGCCCAGTTGGAGGGAAGAGTTGGACGCTGTATGTTCTTAACAGCTCACACCCTCTCTGGACCCCACTTGATGGTGTTCAGAGCTGGTATTCTCTCATTTTACAGACAGGGTCACTGAGGCTGGGGGTGCTTAAGGGGCTTACTCTAGATCACGCAAATAGATTCAGGAGATCACCGCCCACCAATCATACTTACTCCTACCTCAGGGCCTTTGCACATACTATTCGCTCTACCTGGGAAGCCCCTTTCCCTGATGAACCCTGCCTCTTCCCCCACTTCCCACTGACCTGGCCATAGAAGAAGTGCATGGAGGTGGTGAGGCTGCCTGGGCCTGGGCACCAATTTCCTTCCAGGATGTGTGACTCCGGAGTCTTGTCACTGTGAAGAACAACAGGCTCTGCCAGTGGCAGAGTAGGTGCTGAGCAGCTCTAGGAGGCTGCTGTGGGAGTCAGGGGCAGGGAAGCCCATAGGCTCTCACTTGGTTCCCGGGCATAGAAGTGCTCAGCCTTGGTGGTCCTGCCATGGAAGAGGCCATCTCCAGGACCAATATTCACAGAGTGGATTTCGGCCGAGGCCTGGGCCTTGTCATACCTGCAT